TGGTCTTATATTCAGTGTTTGTTATGTAACCTGTAAGGTAAGCAAATTATTAATTTCTTTTTCATAGATTTTTGACATTTCCTTTGTAATATAACCAAATAGTACATTTTCCCATGTTTACTTGTCTGTGTACTTTATTAAGAAGTAAGTTTTGATAAAAATGTCACTATGGTTGTAGATCTAGAGTCAAATTCTTGTTTTATATATTTAGTCTGAAGTTATTTTCAACCCATTTTTCATTTTCTACAAGAAAGTCTATTTACATATAAGAAAAGCTAGACTATGATCAGTAGTGTCGTTAGGATTGGTATCACCCAATTTATGGTGTCAGATTCCTGCTCGCATGGACTTTCTGTACTAGACTGTAAAGAATCCTTAGTAATGTTTATTATCCATTTTAATCACATAATACTGTAGTATATGTAGTTGTAAGCTGCTTTAAATGCACAATTTCTTAGATTACATGAATGCAGGCATACCTCAGAGATACTGTGAATTTGATTTCAGACTTCCACAATACAGAAAATATCAAAATAAAGTCACACCAGTTTTCTATTTCCCAGAAAAGTTATTTTTTATAATCTGTTACATTTAATAACATTATTAAAAGGTTTGAAAAACTGTGATAATTACCAAAATGTGATAAAGAGTAATTGAAATATGATATGAAGTAAGCACATACTGTTGGGGAAATGTCACCAACAGAGTGCATGTTTGGTAGAAAACTTAGGTTATCTGCAAAGCATAGTAAAACAAGGTATGATGAATGATGTAGTTGTTTTATAAAAATGTCTCAACATTATTAGTAATGAAGGGAAGCTTTTTTAAATTGTTCTTTTCCTTTGATTACTATTTCATTCTCTAAAGAGTTATTGATAGAGAATTACAAGTAGTAATTACCACAGGGTACTCCTTGGAAACAAGAATGGTGAAGCTTTGTCTCACATATTTTGGGCATGTTGTTAGGAGAGGACAGTCCTTACAGTAAGGCAACATCTTTGGAAAGGTGGAGGGTCGGTTAAGGAGAAGGAGACCTTCAATAAAATGGATTGACAATGGTGACTTTAACTATGGGCTCAAGTATGTCAGATAGGGTGGCACAAAAGAGGGAAAGATTCAGATCTGTTTTTCATAGGGTTACTGTTAGGCACATCACCTCAGAGGCACATAACAACCACCTGAATATTTGATAAAATTAGTGAATGTGAAAATACAACAGCAATGAAACAGTAACCAGCACTTCTAGTGTGTGCAGACTAAACTACATGTTTCTAAGTGTCTTCGTAATTGAGTAATAATGTCAACTCTGACTAAAGCACACTAGTGAGTTAAAAATGTAATTTTGTGAAAGTTTAGCCTTATAAGTCTAAGTGGGCTTGTAAAAGGTATTTTTATTTTGGGAACTAATTACAGTTATATTCTGTATTTTAAAAAATAATGAATTTTTGAAGTAATGACTTTTTAATGCAACGCTACGCAAACATTTTCTAGACTATCATTTTGGTGTCACCCCCTCTAACAATGTTACCCAATGTGGTACACATGCCCCACCTCCTTTTATTGATGCCACTGACCATGGCATACTTCTGCCAGTAACCAGCTCTGTAAGAAATCTCTTTATATGTGAAATGGTAAAGGAGTAATATTTTACTTCAGATTTTAAGAAAATAAAGGTGCTTGAGGATAAATCTGTGAATTTTTCTTACCTGTATAACAAGTAGGAGTGGCATCCACTTCCTAAATAACATGCCTCCGGAAACACTATGAACTTTGATAAATGTCATTAGTTGTAGAGGAGCTTCAGGCCTTTTGTTAATAACGTCGCTATGAGTCGTGCTTGACTCGAAGGCAGTCAACAACAACATACCAAGGAAATAGTGAGAAGGTTAAAAGCATTCCTAATAGAAGAGCAAACAAATTCTGAACTGGTGGATGACAGTTTTCTTAGTTTATTGTTTCCAGAAATGGCAATATTGGGTGCTATATTATTTGCTAGGAAGCTCTGGTGGCCTAATGTTAAGGAACTGTGCTAAAACGCCAAAAGTATACAGTTCTAATCCACCAGTTCTTGCAGGAGCAGGATGGGCAATCTCCTGTGCAGTTTACGGCCTCTGAAAACCAGTTGGTTGGTTCTCACTCAGCAGTAGTAACAACAAGAGCGTGTTTTTTACTAGACATTGTGCTACAGCACTAAGTTTGGTGCTAGGGATACCAAAATGATGTCAGAACCCCTGCCTTCAAGGAGTTTGAGTTTTTTTGAGTATGTAGGTCTGATTTTTCTTAAGAGCTTGTTTTCACAAAATACCTACCAACCTCAGTTACAGAAACCAGTTTATCATACTGCTTTAAATATCATGGTAGTAAAAAGTTACTTGGGGGGAAGCATCCGCCAAGGGTTGTGGCAGGACCAGCCAACATGGTGGTGGCAACGGCGGCGTGGGCACTGGTGTGGCTTGGGATGGCCCTCCTGCTGCTTGCAGCCCAAGTGACCTGTGAGTACGGGGTGTAGTGCACGTGGTGGCTGAGGCAGGCAGCTCCTGGGGCCGGGTCTACTGCATTACTGCATCCTGTACAACCCCCGGTGGGCGCATCTGCCACACGACCTCAGCAAGTTGCCTCTGTTGCAGCTGCAGGACTGGCCAGTCTCTGTTCTCTGCTCGCCCAAGGTCTTCCCTAGTAGGGACTTCGGCATCCAGATCCTGTTGCTGGCATGAGGCAACTGCACCTTCTTTGAGAAAGTATGGCTGGCTCAGGACAGCGGACCCATGGGCTGCTGGTGGTCTGCCAGGAGAAACGGGTATCCTCCGGAGGCAACAAGACAAGTCCAATGAGATCGGCATCCGCATGGCCCTGCTCAGCCACTGAGACATGCTGGACACCTTCAAGAGTTTCAGCCGAGCAGTGAAGGCAGTGCTGTATGTACTCAGTGAGCCAGTGCTGGACTACAGCATGGTCGTCATCTTCATCATGGCTGTGGGCACCATCGTCCCTGGGATCTACTGGGCTGAGAGCCGCAATGTGAAGAAGAGGTTCATGAAGCACAAGCGGAACAATAGGCCAGTGAAGCAGGACAAGGTAGTAAACGTAACATCCATCATGATGTTCCTGGCATATGCAGCTACATCCTGGGGCTGCTACACTTCTTCTAAGACCACCTGGTCTTACCTTGTCACTGACATCCATCTCTCATCCAGTGGTCTCTACAGCTGCTTGGCACTCCTGGTCCATAGGCTGCCCTTTGGCAGGTGCACTGTCCCAGACAACACCTACCTTGCTTCCACAAGCATCCACAGAGCCACATTCTGCTGCTGGTGCTGGCCTGTATCACCATCACTGTGGTGTGGGGTGTCTTCCACAAGGAGGAGCAGTGGGCCTGGGTCCTACAGGATGACCTAGGCATCACCTTCTGCCTCTACATGCTGAAGACCATCTCATCTATGACATCATCTTTATCACACCCTTCCTGACTAAGAGTGGGAACAGCACATGGTGGAGGTGGCTATGGCCCCCTCGGACTCAGCCCCACACAAGAAGCTGCCCATGGTCCTGAAAGTGCCCAGACTGATCATGTCCCTGCTGGCATTATGTGACTGGCGCTTCCCCCTCCTGGGCTTCGGGAACATCTTGGTGCCAGGGCTGCTGGTGGCCTACAGCCACAGGCTGGACATCCAGGTTCAATCCTCCCACGTTTACTTCATGACCTGCTCCAGTGAAAGACCTACCTCAGCCTCCTTGGGACTCAGTTCCTGCCAGTGGTCCACCACTTACCAGAGACCCCAGCATGCCCTCTCCCACCAGCTGTCCAGTGAGGATGCCAGGAGCCCCACCAACTCTGGAGAGCAGCCCACCAGATCATGCACACCCCAGGTCTTCCCAGAAGCCCATGGGTAAGACCAGCACCCCAGTCATCTCAGACCAGACCCTCTGGCCCTGGGGACCACAGCCAACCGGCCCGACAGGACCCACAGCCCAGCTGGGCCCCATGGACTAGGCTGTTGGCTGAGTGTGCTGGTAACATAACAGGAGGCTTCCCCGCGAGCAGAGACGTGCAAGGGCCTTCTCACCCCCAAACATGTTGTTCTCGCTCAACCAACGCCACCCAGCAAGGACCCTGCAGGCCACTCTCCGCACTTGGATTTGTCTCAGCTGCATCCCAGCAGAGTGGCAAGCAGCTGTCAGCATGTTTATATTTGGTGCTTAACATGCGCTTCTCTCTCCCTCGGGGCGAAAAGTTATTTGTTTGCTTATTAAAATGTCTACTGTTATGAATAATGCCTAGTTAAAAATTGACTTTAATATAATTTAAAAAAATGCCTTATATGTTAGATAAGGGAGTTCTGATGGCATCGTTAGTAAAGAGTTGCTCAGCTAACCCAAACTCAACCTCTCTAGCACTTCAAATCCACCAGCAACTCTGTAGGAGAAAGAGCAGTCTCCTCCAGCACAGTTTACAGCCTCAGAAACCCACTGGAGGGTGACCTTTGAGTCATTTCCAGCACTAAGTTTGAGTTTAAAGTTTTTATTCTCATTGCCTTATTTTTTTCTTGAAGTGAGAATTTTCAGGTATTTTAATGTATTTGGTCAAATGAACAGAAGAAATGGAACTTAAGGATGTGCCCAAGCTATTGAGAAAACTACCAAATTATATCCCTTAAATCTAAAGATGATCTCAGCTGAGAAAGCAGTTCTTCAATAATCAACACACATATCAATTATGTGTTACAAGTTAAAACTGCAGTAGTTTATCTGGTCACGTTAGATGAGTACTGATGTTATAAAAACACTCCATATAATTTTAATGAATTATCATTCCCTATATCGTAGCTAATAATTTTTAAAATAAAAAAAGCTTCACATAAGTATTTCAGTGAAATAGTTTTCTGTTAAACTGGCATAAACATCTATGTTGCATTAGATAGTTGTTGTTTAAAAAAATGTGTCATTTTCCACACAAAGTGTTTTTTAGAAACCATCAAATTCATTTTTCCTTTTTATAACAGCTATTCATAGTTTCAAGTTGAGTCGGAACCATGTGGATTGGCACAGTGTTGATGAAGTATATCTGTATAGTGATGCAACAACATCCAAAATTGCAAGAACAGTTACTCAAAAACTGGGGTTTTCTAAAGGTAATTATTATCTATTCCCATCATTTGACAAAATTTGATTAATTTTTTTATTTATACATTCAGAATAGTATATGAATTACGACTAATGGTGATTATCTTTTTAAAGAAAACTTTTATTAAGGTGAAGACGTTGACATGTATTAATTAATCATTATTTTTATAATACTATGAAAAGATTAATAAATTTTTTTATGCTTTTAAAATCATAAAAATAGTGTGACTGAAGCAATGTTGTAAATAAAACATGGCAATTGAGACATAGTACCAAGAAAGAAAAAGGCTGAAAATTTCCCATTGGATTTGAAAGTTGTTAGTACGTTTAAGTGGATTGATAGGGCACAAGTCATTTTGCCTTTTTGGTATAGGTTGAAGTAAAGGATGAAGAAATTTAGAAAATTAGAATAAACAACTCTCTGAAAAAGTTTTTTTTTTAAAAGAGGGCATAGTACCTGAGGAAGATGTAAGCGTATGATTTTTTTAAAAAATTATTTTTATTGTGTCTGATATAATATTTTACTGTCCCATTTTTAGTTTTTATCCTTTAATATTTTGTATAATTTATTCATCTGTTGTATTTTTTTATTTTGTGAATGATCTAATCATATTGTCCATTAGTCTTCTTTGCTATTTGAATTGCTGGCTGTCTTTGACTAGTAAATTCCCTTTGCATATGTAAATGATTAATTTACTATATATGTTTTTTTCTTGTAAAAATTTTCCGTTTGCCATTCCTTCTTTGTCTTGGTTTCATAGTATTTCTATGAGGGGAAATACTCTTTTTTTTTTTTTTTTTTTTATGTATGTGCTTGTCCTTCATTCTGTGTCTTTTTCCTGTGATTTCTGGCATTGGTGTCATGTTAAGTATTTACAACAGAGATCATTAACATATACCATTTTATACATTTTCTTCCCTGCCCTCACATACTGAAAATTATTTCCTAATATTCCTTTTAATTCTTCTTTTCTTTCAACATGTTGTGGATATGCTGTTATTTTTCAGAATAAAACAGTAAACTTAGAATCATCATTTTTCTACAGCATCAAGTAGTGGGACCAGACTTCACAGAGGTTATGTAGAAGAAGCCACATTAGAAGACAAGCCATCACAAACTACCCATATTGTATTTGTCGTTCATGGCATTGGACAGAAAATGGACCAAGGAAGAATTATAAAAAATACAGCCATGTGAGTTCTTTGATGACTACATTCTCTGTCTGGTTTAGAATCCAAACTTGAGTTTCGTTAATAACAGGTAGTAATAAAGGATTTACTCATTCTGCTACATGCTTCTCCAAGATTACAACAGAAAGATCTAATTTTACGTTTATGTATAATTATATATATATAAAATACTGAGAAAACTGCAAAGTTGTAATACTCTGTAAAAGCTAAAAATTGTTTCGCTGCCAGAGGAAATAGACCAGTGAATGCTTTACCAGCCCAGGCTAGTTAATATTTTTATACTTAGCTTTGTTTTTAAAATTATTTAAAATGTTAGTTATTGTTATGTGTATGTTTTATAGAAATGTATAGGGTTATATTAAAAGCGAATATTAAGATATTAAAATTTCCACAAGTTTTTTTTTCTCCAAATGGCTGCTGGTGTGAGCACAATTAAGTGTTCTGTATTTCTCATTCTTCTCAATATTAGCCATAATCTATTGAGTCACATGGTCGAATTCCTTTCCATAAAGCTCAGGTAAGCATCTTTCTGGTATTTCTGCTTCCAGCCAAGATCTTTCTAACATCAACAATGATGTGTGTTCCTTGTTCCAAAGACTCTTCTGAATTCTGCCTGAATTTTTTTACGATTCTCTGACAATGCAGTGTTTCAGCATTATAGAATATTCTTCAAGATTTGACTTGCATGTAGTATTAATGATATTATTTGATAATTTCCATACTCCTTTGCATTACCGTTTTTTGGGAATGGACTCAAATGTGAATCTCTTCTAGTCAATGGAACAGGTAACTTTTCTCTAAATTTCTTGACATAGACTAGTGAGCACACTAGGGCTGCATCTGTGTCTTGAAGCACCCAGACTAGTACTCCATCCTTTCCTGGAGTCTTATCTTTTTCTTTTCTCTTTTTTTTTTTTTTATTT